GCCCCGCGCTCCCCTACCTGCTGCTCCGTGCGGGCGAAGGGTACTTGAGAGCCGGAGCACCGGCTGCGGGGCATTTGCGATCATGTGAATATGCAGATTAATTCAGGGGGGTTCGCGGCTGCTTGTTAAAAGGAGAAGCCGGGACCGAAGGGAACCCGCTGGGTTTCTGGAGCGGGGGCTGCACGGCACGGGGAAGGGCTCGCACCTTTCTCAGTTTCTTCTCTGCCGCACACTGTGTCAAAAGGAAAAAAAAAAAAAGTCTCAGCAACTCTGCAGCCAGGGAGCTTTATCCACCTAAAAAGCCTATTAGGACTCTACACGTTACACAAGTATTTAATTTGTTGGAAGTTGCTAAATTCAAGAAAGTTTTGCCTAGTGCGGAGAGCCAGTGGAAGCCACTTAAAAGAACTGTTGACATTAGACCGTGATGCTGTTGAGGGGATTCCGCTGGTCCTCACCTTGAGAAGAACCCATTGAATCTACAGCATGAAAACAATCCAATGAAAAAACAGCCCTTTACATATTAAGAAAAAAATCAAAGTCGCCTAAGTTGCCAGGCATAATTATGTTGTTAGACAATGCATAGAAACTGTCACTTGAAGGAGGCAGGGATGAAAATGAAAAAAAGTATCTAGAAAATCTTTTTTTTTTTTTTTTTTTTTTTTGCATACCGGCTTAGACCTTTGCATGCAGTAAAAGAATCTGGCCATAAATTATATACAAAACATTTTAAGGGACATGCTCAAGTGTTAAAGCAGGTTAAAATAGCATGTACAGAGAAACTACACCTACTGCCACTTGTCCATGCAGCAACAGAGAAAGAATCAAAATTTGACGTGATGATCAGCCAGCCTGTACTGGACACACTGTACCAAATAATCTTTCTGAGCATAAGAAAACAGTGCAAGAGCTGAAGATCTTCTTTGGGCATGGAAATCATGGACAGAAAGTCCTCTCTTAGCTTCTGCTAGGAGATCATAGGTAATAATTTGCACCAGTGAAAAGCAAGTATAATGTATAACACTATCAATTCAGGATGCCCTGGACAAATTTGTACACACAACAATAAAAAAAGTCATGCCCCATGTGTTAAGTACCAGCTGATCACAGTTTATGATAAGTGCAAGGTGACCATAAAGTACAAATGTAGGTGTTTCTCTTACATTTGCATGCTCTTCCCATAAAGCCATGTCATAAAGGATACCAAGAGACATTCACAATAAATTTGATGGCAGAAGAAAAACAACTGGCTGAGTGTTTGCCTTTCGTGTTTTTAGGCTTCTCTTCATTTGATTATGTCTTCAGCTTAGTCAAGAGGGGGTGCAGTCATCATCACACAGCTCTGCTCTTTCATTTGGTGTGCTTAGTTTTTCAATCTATGCCCTTCACAACCTGCTACAGTGATTCCAGAAACTTCAAGTCCTAACACTGTCTTGTTGACACAAGAGCCCACCATATACTTCATAGACTCAGACCAACTTTTTCTGTCAGGGCTGCAGGAGGAGTTCCTCACAGTGAAAGGATTTCAGTTAGGCTGTTCCTCTGCCTAAACTTTATAGTTTATTTACCACTATTCCCTTTTTCCCCTCTGCCAGGAATTACCGTACAAAAAGCTCCTTTTTAGTGCTCTGTTTCAAACACCTGTGGCCACTTGATGTGGCTTGAACCTTTCTCATCTTCTGCCACCTGCATTTGGCAAAGTCATTATCTGATTATTTCAGCCTTTTATGCCACGGCTACTTCTGCCATACAAATCCTTTCCTTTGTTGTTCCAAAAGCTACCAAAGGCACCCCTACAAACCTCAAATTTCTTTCCAGTTTTGGAGCCGGCTGTTTCAAATCAGGGCTGTGTTTGCTTTCAGAGCTTTGCCCTGACAACACACTTGTTCTTTGGCACCTTGCGGACTCTGCTCCTGCAGCCCGTTTGTTTGTTCACAAGCAAAATTCACTTAGCAAAACCTATAATTGCCTTTCCTTTTATTGCGGATAGCATATATGTGCTCTTTTTGATCTGCAGAGCAGATCACTGCCACATGGAGAAGCCAGAACGTTAATAGCTTCTGTCACTGCTACCACTCTTATTACGATAGATCTTCTGGAGGATTAGACAAAGATTGTGGCCACATAAACAGAGAAAGGCAATGCTTCGGGCACAAACCTGGAGCAAACTGCAGTGTGCCAGCTCTGATCAAACAAACAGACTATGTTCTGTTGAAAGCACAGAAGGCAAGGAAGACATCCCTTGAGATGGCACTGAAAAACAAAGGAAAGCTGCCCCAGTTTGTACAGGGATAAATTTGTCCAGAGAGAAATGTTGGGAGCTGGCACCACATAGGTTCTATTTTTTTTCTTATATAATTTTATCTTTATAAAACCTGGGTTAACCCATTTTGGACTTCTGCCCAAGGATGAAATATTCCTCCTGCTGCTGTGTTCAACACAGTTAAGGAAGTAACTTAGAAAAAAATAGATATGAAAAATTTAAAAATAGTATTAAAGCTCAATCCATGTCTGGGGCTGGGGTGGGATGTGCAGTGGAATCTTGCTGTATCTCTGCTTCTCCTTCACTGAACATTTACTCCGAGTTTCTACAGTCATTTTTAGGGCATCATGAATTAAAGATCTCCGTAGGAACGTAAGCCATGGTGAGAAGATGCTGCAACACATAAGACACATCCCCGTTCTGAACAAGGACTTCCCAGACAGCTGAAGCGTGTTGGATCTGGGATTTCGGTTTGGTCTGTTATGGAGGAGAGGGCACATTGCCAAAGTCGGAGAGGAATGTGCAAACAGCTAATTCCAGCTAAAACAATATGAGGGAGAGAGGCAGAAAAACTCCCAGCACTAGATTCTGTCACCTCACTGAATAGCAGTGTGGGAAGAGTTCCTTCGCTCCTGTGGCGAGTCTGGTGGATATCCATCCCGGGCAACACTGTCAGACTGTGGGGTTTGTCAGACAAGACCGAAGAAGAGAAAAGAAAGACCAAAATAATTTTTTTAAAAAAGGACATAATTTAGATGCACTGTGTGTTTTCTCAGTGCCTTAGTCCTTTCCCACTTGTAGCCAGCGGATCTGGACCGCTCTCCCTGACGCTGCCGTTGTTAAGCTCCTCAGCTCGCTCAGCTCCTCTCTCAGCACTACTTCAGGCTTTCAGTTGCCAAAAGCAATGAGGCTTACATGCATGTGTTCTTTCTCTTCCCCTCTCTTTCTCTGGGTGTTCCCGCCCTTTCCAACAGATCTTGGACCCACCAGCCAGTTTCAGCTACAGCTGATGGAGGATCAGAATCCCAAAGCTGTTTAGGCTCCTGCCAGCCCCACGAGCGTGAGTGGCTGCAGGTAACCACAGCGAAAGGGATGCTCGCTGCTGCTGGCAGGAGAGGCTCCAGGAGGGTTTTCAGAAGTGCCTGAGTGATGGAGGGACTTAGCTGCTGTTTTCAAAATGGTGCAGACTCCTAGGAGACTAAATTCCTTTGACCTTCCTTGGCTCCTGTCAACAAGAGCATTTGAGAGCAGGCAGTAAGCCTTTCAGAAACCATTGACGCTTGCAGAAACTCTCAGACTTTCTTTTCTGACTGACTGAAAGTTTCATTCTGTTGCCACTAATAAATCCCTCTCCCCTCACCAATTTATGTTTTATGAATTTGGGTTAAGCTTTGTCTACTAAAAGGATCTTACATAAAACACCGCTTACTGAAATGTGATCTTTACACATTTCTGAAGTTTTAATTTTCCTGCGGTGTAATCTTGTTACTTAGGTCATTCATTTTGTCACGCCTTGGTATCAGCCTGGTCCAGATTTGGCTGCAGGGCTATGTTCTCCTGACATTTAGCGCAAGAATTCCCTGGGAAATCAGTCAAGGGATTTGACATTGCTGCTGGCCAAGCTCCAGCGGGTTTAGTTTTACTCTCCTTCTCTATTTATTGTGGAATCTGTCTGTCCACAAGCTGCACATTGAGTTCCATGCTAGAGAAGGAGAACTGAAAGGGACAAAATGGCCATTCATTTGGAGGATCCATTCAGGCTTTTCAGAAAGGTTTTACAAGAAGCCGTGCACTTAGATGACTGCTGAGCTTCCTTAGCCCTGCACTGTTGCCTCCCTCACGAGACAATCTGGATTGACTGCTTTTTCTTTGCTCTCTCCCCTACCTCAATAGGCAGCAATTACAGCTGGAAAAGCAAAATTAAGATCTAGGTAGTATAGGAACCACCTGGAGGCTTTTCATCTTTAGAAATAGTTTAATTTCAACATGGCATGGACAGGTCCTTTGCTGGGAATATGGAAAAAAAAAAAAGTCCTTTTTTTCCCCTCCTGCCACAAACTGCCACAACTCCTGTTGCAAAAAAAAAAAAAAAAAAATAAAAAAAAAAAAAAAAGCTGCATCAGTGGCAGAGAGCGCCAGGATTTGATAAACTGGACAGGAGGAGCCGGAAAGCACTGGGCACTCATGGGGGGTACAGGAGAGTCGGGGGAAGAATCCCAGGTCAACTGGGAATGGGGCAGAGAAGTAGCTCTCTTGTGGAGGGGGCCAATGACATGCAGCAGCACAGGGCAGGGTGCAGGAGCGTCTGCATGTGCCAGGAGGGAAAATCAGCCCAACACGCCGATGGTCTGTGTGCTGAGGGCTGTGTACTCTTAGCCAGTGGGGCCAAAGGGCTTAGTCTAACTTTGCTAGGTGAGACACTGAAATTTGGTTAAGCGCTCACAAGTTTTATCAGCCACAGAAAATGTAGTACTGCACTTCGTATATAACACTGTTGTATGGTCTTTAACATCCAGCCATCTTCTCCTGACCAATCTGAATTGGTCTCCCCTGCAGTCCCTCTGCTGTTTCTAAGCTCCTCAGCTCCAAAGTCTCAGCTTCTTCCCTTGCTACCGCTTCAGTTTCCTACAGAAATGAAGCTCAGTCAAAGAATTATGGAGTTTAAGACTAGATGGCAACATAATATTTTCTAGTTACCTTTATATATCATAGACCATTGAACTTTACCTCATGACACATTTCATGAGTTCAGTAACTTCTATTTGGTTAAATATATTTTACGAAAAGCATCCTTGCTTGATTTGAAAACTCATGGGATAGA